ACGTTAGTTTGTGCCTAAGCTTTTTATTACTGCACTTAAATTGTACTGACCACTGAAGAATGACGACAAGACTAAGAACTACAACGTTGCTAAGCTGTGCACCATGTTTACTATATTTAGCTACACGAGGAAAGTTCTGTATACAATAAACGATTCCCTATTATTTGAATTAGAATGACTTCTGAAACTGTAGGGAAACACTATCTTTAATTTAATTTCAACACCTTTCTGTGTCTGTTGGTTCACGTTCTTTCATTCGACCACACATAAAAATACACAGTTATGTTATCAACTTTAATAAAAGATGGAATGGCTTAGGTTCTGTTTAACAACTATGTCTAATCATGAGCAACAAGTGGTAGAATCAAGTCAACTTTTTAGGGTAGCCCTTAGTGCAGAAAGATTGAACTTTTTGCTTCTCTGTCTCTCCCTCCCCTGAGAGACTGATGCAAAGGATCCGAAATCTGATTTTGCTTTCTTCTAAGACATTTCCGTTATTCACTCCCCAATCTGGGCTAACAATGTATGTCTAGATTTTTGATAAAGGTGTAAAAATGGTGCAAAACTCTTTCTCTTGACTGCCAGCCGTCGCAGGCAGTCAGGCCAGTGCGGTGCTTCAAAACCCAGGGGGTTTCCGTAAAGGAGGGTTGTGGCAGAGATCCCAGGGTGCTGGTTCCAAGCCAGCCCCAAGGACCTTAACCCAGGAGGGTGGAATGGGTAACAGAGTGAGGCACTTTTGGCTTTAAAACTGACCATTTTCTTTGCAGGGCAGCCTTCGCGGACCCTGCTGTGCAGGCTTAGGGACGAGTAGCGAGCCAGCCACACATAAGCAAGGTGGGTGAGTAGGCTGTGAAGTGATAGACTGCATGTGATAAATTTATTGAAATGCCTTTGTATTTCCTGCAAAAGTGGCAGGCCCGTTGTGTTGAAATTGACACGGTTTTCAGAAATCCAGGCATATATAATATAAAGGCAAAAGTGTAGCAAGATATAGAGATTAGAGACTTTAAAGTTTAACTAGGGTTAACACAGTTTATCGAAGTTTTACTTTTTATTCTCTTTTATAAAATTTGTTTTCACTGTCTATGTTTTAAGGAGTTAATTAAACGGCCCGGCCTAGATCAACCAATTTTAGGCAATTTCACCACACATTAACTGGTCATGTCCGTTATTAACTGAAATATCAAAATAACGGATGAAGTCAGAGATTGGCAAAATTGAAGACTTGTAAAAGTATTATCATATAAGTACTAAGATTTCTACTTGCAAAGTCACCGAATAAACATCGCCTCTCTTTGAACTGGAATAACCTAACATACTGTACGACCTAGCCTCTAACTTTAAACATCAAAGTCAAAAATGAAGGACATAAAATAACTAGAGATGTCAAAATTCTCACTAGGGCCCTGGGGCTCAATTTCAGTACGAAGTTCTTAAAAGTCAAGATGCATTCTAAACGTTGTTCCCTAGCAGTAGGCTTTTGTATTCGAACAATACTTACGAGTCATCTTAAGGCGGGGTTC